AATACATGGAAATTAATAAATGAAGCAACATATTCAACGAAAAACGAGGAAACTCCTATATATTGTATTGAAAATAGTTCTACTAAATCTCTTTTAACTGATAAAATTGACATTTTAAATGAACTAAATGATTATTATGTTAATGTCGGTAAAAATATTTTTGACGATATTCAAATAAATAATTTTGAAAAACTAAATTGGAATGATATGAATAAAAACTGCCATATTAATAAATCAATTCTCCTGGATCATATTGATCCTTCAGAAATTTCTAGGTTTATAAAGAAAATACCAGATAAATCCTCATTCTATAATAACGGTTTATCGAACTTTATTTTAAAGAAAACAGCTGATTCTATCTCACTTCCATTGTCAATTATTTTTAATAAATCGTTTAGTACAGGTAAATTTCCTTCTAGCTACAAAAATACTATAATCATACCACTTTTTAAATCTGGTGATAGAAAACAATGTGGAAATTACAGACCTATTTCTTTAACTTTAACAGTTTCAAAAATATTTGAGAAATGTATAAAATCAAGATTAATGTCGTTTTTGGACAAACATAATTTTTTTTCATCAAATCAATTTGGTTTTCGGTCAAATATGTCAACTACTGATCCTTTATCTAAAACTTCAAATTTTATTCATAATAATTTAGATAACAAATTTAAAGTTCTTGGAATTTTTCTCGATTTTAAAAAAGCTTTTGACTCCGTAAGTCATAATTTGTTACTTAAAAAATTAGAATATAATGGTATAAGAGGCAATGCTCTCAATTTAATTAAATCATTTATCTCTGGCAGACCTCAACAAGTAAGAATAAACGGATTACTTAGTGATGTAAAGACAAATTGTTTCTCAGTACCTCAAGGTACAGTACTTGGCCCTGTCTTATTCATCATATACATAAACGGACTTTTAAATATAAAGCTTAATGCTGAAATTTTTTGTTATGCAGACGATACAGTTATTCTGATTAAAAGTCATGACTACGAAAATTTATATAAAACAGCTAATGACTGTCTATCTGTAGTAAAAGACTGGTGTGACAATAATAATTTACAGCTAAATTTATCTAAATCTAAATATATTGTCTTTAATATTACAAATCGTTCACATATTAAAAATACTGATTTTTCACTGTGTGTACACTCTTATAAATGTAAATATCTAGATAACCCTTGTGAGTGTTTACCTTTGGATAGAGTTTATTGTATTAAATATCTTGGAGTAAAATTAGACCATAGACTAAAATTTATTGAACATATATATCATGTAAATAGTATTCTTAGAAAATTATTATATAAGTTCCGATTGCTCAAAAACATGTTAGATATTAAAACTCTTAGAATTATCTATTTAGCTCTTGTACAATCTGTTTTCTCGTACGGTATTTCAATATGGGGATGTACATACTCCACACATATAAATGTTTTATCTACTACAATTAATTTAATGATTAAAACTATACTTGGAAAACCAAAATTGTATCCAACTTGTTCAATTTACTTAGAGTTGAAAGTTAGAACTATTTTTCAAGTTTATGAACGGGCGGTTTTATTGTATATATTTAAAGTAAATATAGGACCATTTCAGCCTTTGCATTGTTATAATACTAGAATAAAAAACAATTGTAATTTAATTATTCCACGAAATAATACTAATTTTGGAACACAAAGTCCAATGATTAAAGGAATTCTGTTACTTCGTAAATATAATATTAATTTAACTAATTTTGATAATTTTAATAAGTATAAGAAACATATTAACACTATTTTATCTTGGTTGTAAATGTCCACTTTTTAGTTCAATGATAATTTGAAGTAACTACTCTAAATGTTGAACTTTTTTTCTTTCTTTTTTTATTTTATTTGTATACTTTTATAATACTCATAACATGAACCCAGCTCATCCGTCTACAAGCATATCTATGCTTATTGGATGAGCTTGCAAACCAACCATATTTTGTTTGTTAATATTGTTTTATTTTGTTTGTTTGCTAAATAAATATTATTATTATTATTATTATTATTATTATTAAGAACAAATACTGACATACTGAAGTCTGAAATACATTATAGGTGGTTGGTACCTATATTATGGCCATATATGGGATGATTCAAAATGTACGTTACAATAATAAGTAAAGTAATCGTAACATACATTTTAAATCACTCTGTATATAACCAACAAGGCTCGAACACTATAGGTAAAGCTAGGTAGCCTAGGTTTTATAACTTAGAGACTTACTAATAATGTATAATGTATTTACTATACTCAGTAAAAGCCGAATTTAATTTATTTGGTTTGGGCTTTTATTTAAAACATTTTATACAACCTAGGATGTAGAAATCATGACAGTAAAAGCTAATTGATCAGGAACGGAAAATTAATATGATTTTAAACTAGTAATTAAAAATTAGATTGCAGTTAATATAGTTACATACATTAAATAATAATATATTTGTTTGAACATTAAAATAAATTTAAAATTATAGTTTATACTTTATTGAAACAAATTACTGATATTTATTTTAATTGTTATTTATTTCACAAGATATCTCTTATGCTATAATTTATATCTAGTGTGGTACCCATTACTACTACTACTTCTACTATTATTAACCAAACCATGGGCATATCAAGTATCACGGGGAGGAGCTAATATGAAGGATGGATCCCTTCAATTCAGTACTTAAAAACGGTATATAATTTATAACATTATAACGGACAATAATGAAAAAAAATAAACAAAAAACAAAAATAATCTAGTATCATTAAACATAATTAATGATTAAAAAAATAAACAATAAACGTGTGTCATAAAATTTTTTTTTTAAGATACAGAACAGCGAGCATTAATTGTTTGGTACCTACTAAATACCTACTTACATAACATTAACATTATTATGCCATTTAAAGTTGTAGGTATTATTGTTATAAATATTTTAATAAAATTTATTTTTTCATCTTTCATTCATGCTATAATATTTAAGCAATATTTGACAACTAAACTAAAATAACTTACCTACTTGCCAGTTATAGCTACATACTAAAAACCCTAGGATGATTGAAATTTGAAAATAACCTATCCTAGCTTGGCAACAAATTCTACTAATTTGATAGTTCTTACATCACAGTATGGTTAATACTTAATTATCTATCTATACTGAAAATAACAATATAATTTATAAAAAGAAAAAAATTAAATGTGTAACATTAAACACACCACAAAAAATTAAATTCTTATGTATCTAAATTAAAATTAGAACAAGTAGTTTTTGAATTATATAACATTGTATAGGTAGTAGGTACTAAGGATAATATGGTAATGAGTTAAGTACGTATGGGCTGTGGGGGCTTCAACGTTTATAAAATGTTGGTAATTACTATTGATCTATCAAAATAAATAATTTGTGAAAATGATCCAAGCATAATAAATACTAAATCTAATATTACATAAAGTTTATATTTTTGTAATACCATTTTAAGGTTTAGACTAAACATTTTAATAACTCAAAAACTACACATTAGAATTTTGGTTTAGACACATAAAAATGTTCAAGAAAATCATCCGTTAAATAATTTGAAGTAAAAAAAAAGTAGTTCTCTTTTGAAAAAAATAGATGTCTGTATTGAAACAGGATACTCCTTAAGTAGTTTTTGAGGAAAAATGTTTAACCAACAATTGCAGGTCTGAATAAGATTATGCTTTACAGCCTTTACAACTTTTAATCAGTACAATTATTAAATCTTAGTATTAACTATTAAAAATTAGTTTAACTCTGACTAATGTGTACTAAGTAAGACATTAGTATATTATTAGTTTATTGGTATATTTAGTTATTTAGTCTTGATCTTTTCCCAATAAATTGAGTTCTATTGGTAACATATTTATTATACATATCTTTAATAACTGTAATATACATGACATCTGAAACTCTTGAACTTATTAAAGTATGTATGTACCTACTATCCATTTCATTTAAATATTTATAAATAAATTAAAATATCTATTTGTGGCACACACACAAATGTATTAAATTAAACAATTTAGTTTTATATTCAAATGACACAAAGTATTTAAATTTAGAAGTATTCTTAACAAGACTGGATAATATGTTATTATGAGTCTATCTAATTTGACTTTTTGTTATTTAGAATGGGAACTTACTTTTTTTAAAATCAATAATGTAAAGTAGGATTTTGTTATTTGTTTAATTGTTCAGTTTGTTTCTACCTTTATTTTGAATTTAAAAATAAAACATCTAAGTTAATCTCTTCATAATAAAACAACTTGCTTTACATAACAGTATATTGGACTGGTCCAGACATAGTTAGCGTCTAGTAGAGGTAAAATAACACTGCTGAGTCTAGGCGTTGTGGGGAAACTATATCTTAACAAAATTAATCATAAGTGACATTTAAGAAGGAGATTGTTTCCATAAATTTCACTCAATACTTTAGCATTCTTAACTAAAATAAAAATGTGAAATTATTTTTTTGATATTTTTATATATTATTGTATTATGTTATAATTTATCAAAATACTTCTAGTCTATAAATCTATTATGATGTTAACATTATAATAATATTTTAAAATCAGTGAAGAAAACAAGTTACAATATTAATCAATGAAAAAATAACTATTAAGTAGTAAAATAACAATTCAGTTTGTTTCTACATAATATATTATATATATTATATACATACATGAATATTGAATAAGCATATTGGAATAGCAATCTATTACACTTGTTACATAATTAACATTTTAGAGACTAGAAAACATTTTTATATCACAATATAACAAATATAATTTTAGTCTACATTTTTAAGTCTCAGTTAGTACTTAGTTCCTGACTAAAAATAATGCTATTCTTATATTTTTCACAAACAGAAATATTTTTTTTTTGCGTAACTATTCATTATTATATATATATATATATATAATTAAATCACAAAATTAACTGTTTTTAAGATTAATACATGTAAAATTAATGAGCATTAGGAGATTTTTCTGTAAATGATGTTGCAGAAGATAATATTATACCAGATGTTTGAGGTTGATGCTGTTGTTGTGAAGATGGTTTTTCTGACCAATTTGCATTAATCTCACGTTCTAATCGTTTATATTCCTTAAAATAAAAAAAATAATAAAAATAAATTATAAATTTACAGAGATATAATGTTTCCAGTTTCCGCCAATAACTTTTTTGGTTAATATTTTTGAAATATTATCTTAACGACTGTAATACTATATAATAGTTTATAGTATTTGTAAGCTTTTAAATTTAGAAGAGATACTTGGTAGTGTCTGGAGATAGCAGGTATGTACGAGGAATAAATTGGTAAAGTCTGGTAAATTCTTATACATAAAAATTAAAATATTCTGAACAAAAAAATTAAGATAAAAAAGAAAATAATAGGTAGGTATAGAAGATAAGTAATATCTAACATAGCTAAGCTCTCATAGCCAGCCTATGCAAGAATTTCTTTAAATAAAAATTAGTAATTTTGTCATAACACTACCACAACAAACATTTCATGATAAATTTATAGAAAAAATAAAATTTCAGTTAGGAAGTTCAATATTACAAATTATGTAATATTAAGATTTTAATTATTTTAATGTTTCTAATTTTTGGTCTCCCGAAATGAGTGTCACGGACCACAGTTTAAGAACTGCTGATGTGTTGCTATACCATTACTAGCAAATTGAAATTTGATTTAATGATGTTTTTTGTATAGGTATTTGAAAATATTCCAAAATAGGTGCTATTACTTTGTGAAAATCCGAAAATCTCTGAAGGCATTGATAATTAAAAAAATTGGTATCTCATGGTAGTTTTTCTTAAGACACAGAAAAAAATTATTGTTAATTTACAATAGACAAGAATACTATATTATACAAGATTTATAAACAACAAGAAAAACTAGAAAACTAAAATTAGAAAACTTGTTTATTACTTGTATAATTAAAACTTACATATTTTATACTACTACCTAACCTATGTATTATACTTTAGATTAGGTATACAGAACTTGTAAAATAAAAACATAGACAAAGACAAAGTAAAAACATGCCAAAAAAATAAAACTAGCAGAGTTGGTGAGAATTTATATCATAGTTACTTATATGTGTATGTTTATTAGTTACTATGGGTAAAACAACGTCATTAAAATAAAAAAAAGCAATCGAGTTCCGCCACTTGGTTTGGGGATTGAATTGGTGAGCCACTCATATTACCTAAAATAGTAAAATGGATGAACTTAATAGGTACATCCTACCTATATTTAATGATTACTTAAAAGTGAACTATAAGTTATAACAGCAATGGCAAGTATATTAATATTATTATATAGGTAGATTGTTGATAGTAAAAAGTATAAATCATGATGATGTCATATTATGGAAAACAACCAAGTATTTCAATAGTTGGATAATGTCGTAATGACCAATAGGACAATGATTACAAATTATTAAGACACTACCTACATGTTATTGTTTACTAATTAAACTTCATTATTCTGAAAAAAAATACCAATTTCATTTGAAATTTATTCAGTATTACGACTATTTATTTTCATTAACTACCTAATATGTACAATTTAATACCTCCATGTTCGTTTATATAATAGATAATATTTATAAATTATTCTTTAAAAAGCTATGAAAATATAAGTTTCTGGAATTGTTCCAAGTTATCACACACAGACTCCAGACTGCTTTAAGTAGGTAATAGAGTAGGTATATTTTTAAATAAAATACATGCCAAACATGTGTGCACCTTTCCGAGACATCAAAAGGAGTTATATAAATACAACTCAATCCAGCAATGCTTACCTTAATAGTTTCTTTATCGCGAGACGCTGCTATTGCTTTATTCAAGGAACTGTTACGCTGCAAGTTGTACCAGCCGATGTGCATCACTCCAAATCCAACTATAAACATGAGAACTTCTTTGTTGCGGAAAACAAACTGTTTCAAGTTGTCCACGGCCATGATAATGGTATTATGTGTATTATGAGCGGTTTCCAAAAAGTAATGAACTGATCAATAATTGCAACGATGCACGCAAACACATTTAATATGAATTATGAATTTCGATTCGTTGCACGTAGTGGGTACACACATTCGACTTGTTACCTAATGAATCGTAATTAATACCGTAATCACGCAGTTAGGTACTGACTACAGAACACTGAAGTATTAAATAGTAAATACGAATATACGAAATACGAATTATCGACGTTCGGTGAAAAAATAGTTGTCGAAATAAAAATCGGTAATCACTATCATGGATTTCAGGCTGATATCGAGTGATAACTTTTTTCCGTCGTACTTTTAAAAATGGGCGTAAAGAATCGTAGCTTACATTTTTGTTGTTATCATACAATTTCAAAAATGTTACCACATGGCACATCGTAATAATTTACTACGTTTACTTTAAATTGTAGGTACGTCTTTACTCAATACTCTTGAATCGTGCTGTTAACTTATTAACACCAGAATGCAGAGAAACTATTAGTAGTACAGGCTACTAAATCAGAAATCTAGTTCAAATATTCAATAGTACCTAAGTAATTGGGATTTTTATTTGTTCATACACCGATAAAATATACAGTACTGGAAATGTACTAAACAATGGTGGGGCATGACTGGTGGGTGCCTCGGGCCACGAATTTCGAATAATAATTGTCTTCGCCCACCAATTAGTGGGCAGTGGCTACAGTTAGTCTTTATATTACATACGTCTTGTCTATGGCCCGTTTCCAGCGTTTCGTTTTTTGTGTACAAATTTGATTTTTTTCCTTCAAAAACTGTTTTATTGTTTAAGTGCTATTCAAATATACGTTATTATTTATAGAAATACCATAAACTAATATTTGACTACAGGTTATAGACAAACATTATAATGTGCTTATAGACATAGGTATGCGATATGCCTATGGCTTCTCCCAAGCTGGTTATATACAATTTACCTTCTTGGTTTTAAGGGGTAATGTTTCTGTTTTTATTTAGGGAGTACAGTAGTAGCTGTACACAATTTAAAAATAAAATAAATCAATTTTGTCCCAAAATAAGAATGAAATACACTGACGAGTAAACATTTAGAGAGAATAAATAATATAAGTTTCCACGTGACTTTTTGACTTATGACTAGGGCTGGGATTTTAATGCCTTACAAAAATCTCAAAAAAAGCATTGTAAAAATGCCTTAAATTTACTGAAAAAAAATTTTTATATAAAAAAATAGGTATACCTATTTCAAGTGTATTTTTGATTTTTCAAAAATTATTAGTAGAATAAGTTTAAATTAAAAAAAAGATATTATAATATGAATTATGATATAATATAATATGAGTACCTAATTTATAATTTGTTATATTTATATAAAGTCATGATGATGTGTAAAAAACTTAAAATAAAATTTCAAATTCATATTTTGTTTCACAAACAAAAAGTCTTACAAAACTTCTAAAATTCTCTAAAAGACTAAGAAAATATGACTTATAAAAACATATAAAATATAAATAAACCATTAGGTATCTATAACATAATTTATTACTTTCATAAATGTTATTTCAGAATTGTATGTTAAATGTTTTTTTATTTTACAAAAGTGTCAAACAATTTTAATAACAAATAATATGTAAGGTATAAGTACATCTATATTTTATGGCTTATAGAATGCATACTATTTTGCATCAGATAAATTACACCTCAGGTCGCATCCTTTAAATTTGATCTCCATTTTTATGATTTATTATTTAAATAAATAAGTAAGCCAAAAAGAAATACAAAAATAAAAACACCAATTTTAAGTATTTCAGTTGTCAAACAATTGTTTTACCAAGTGCACCTTAGATAATGGAGACCAAATTACATTCCAAATCCAACATATAAATTATAATTTATAGGTACATACCTATTTATTTTATTTATTACTTGTTATAAGTAGTGAATATATCTCTGAATAAATTGCATTTTAATTTTTTTACCCGACAATACATTTTTTGACACATTAACTGGTTTGAGCAAAGTACAAATTATTTAATTTATAATGTTAGGTCTTGGGTACCTACCTACTTCTACTGGGACACTAAAAGCAGTCTTTGTTTCTTCTGCTTTTTGGCAGAAGAATACTAGATAGGTATTGATTTCAGTATTTCATCTGACACATTAACATATTATATTATGAACACTTGGGTGATGAGTATTTGAGTGTTGTAAAAAAATTATTTTAGAAGTCTTGAAGATGTTACATTTTACTTGTAGATTTACTGTTTGTTTATTCTATGCACAATAATACAACATTACAAGTTCACATTTATAATGTTGAAAAAATAATTACCAAATTTGCTGATAATAAAAAAGACTAGGTAAAAGTGAAACCAAGGTGGATCAATCCACCTTGAGTGAAACTTTACCAACTGGTGATATCTGACAGTCAGGATTAATTTGTGAATTTAAAAAAAAAATTTATTTTTGAATTATACCAGGGATGGGCAACTGACAGACTGACAGACCTTTTTATCTGGCAATTAGTACATTTTCAAAGTAATTGATATAATGTTAACGATTATCTGTATTTAGAAATTACATTGTTCTTAAGGAATTCCATATTTTTATTTATTAAATTAATTGTTTCAAACAATTTTTGTTTTTACGATGATACCTATTTTCCTTTTAAACATTTAAAGAATCAGGAATATCATAGAATTATGAACATGAGGATTGTAAATTGTGATGTATACTAATAATACCTATGTATAATAAACAAACACAATCAAGTAGTAACTTAATTTTTCCGCAAGTCGTCTTATTGACATTTCACTCAAATACACCATATTAGTTATTACAAAATATGTACGACAGTAAAATAGTATATTTTTTAATTTCGTCAATCGGTATTATATTTAATTTTAATTTCGGAAACAAGATTTGAGATTTCCATTTGCCAAGTTATTAGTTATTACCATTAAGACTAGAATCTCCTATCATATTCATATACCTATTCATATTTCATAAACAATGGATGGAGGCATGGCGCCATAGCCCATAGAAAAGTAAGTATAGTAAGTATAAAGTAGCCTATCTTGCCTATGTTAGCAATTTGAAGCACGTAATAGAGACGAGCGGCTGTTTGAGATGCGATATTTGCACATTCGGCACTTCGGCAGTATACTCGTTACATATTTATCACTTGTATCACTGATGAATTCTCAGGGAGAATGCAGTTATCAGCATAAATACTCGACGAGTATACTCGTGCATGCGCAGATCCCAGATAGTACATCTTAACCATCTTTTATCTATTTTCTATGATCCTAACCAGCTACTCGTCACTTATAATAATATTTGCTTCAATTATTGGGACATGTCTCCATCCATAATATTATGTGATCTAAGAGAATAGTCTAGAATAAAATATAATAGTCTTCATGCTTATTAGTTATTAGTTATTATTTATTATATTCGCGATTGTCGTCGTTGGCTGTGATAAGATGATAAACTACTGATGAACCATTAACCAGCCTATGGAGGTGTGGTTATATCTCATAGGTCCCCGGCGCTAACTACAATCATAACGTTTTCCAGTTTCGTATTTCGATCATAACTTCATATTATTTCGATCATCATGAAACTCACGTGTATTTTGTGAGCGTCTTTTTCTTACATGTCGGCCGATAGTTGATGTTGATGCGGCGTACTCGTAAATAAAATTTTTTTTTGCATTATAATTTATTGTTCGCGAAGTAAATGATTACGCGGCACTATTACCTTTGTATGGTTTTGATTATTTCGTGTTTGACAAATTGATTGTGATGGACCAAGAAAAGCCCGACGTATTGGCCGTGGACGAGCTGAGGTGAAGAAATATTATTTTTACTATTTTTAAAATATAACCTATGTTTTATTCATAATATCCATTCCTTTGTGATGAGTTTTCTTATAAATGTCCCTTTATTCTTATCGTGTATCTATATGGATATACTTTTCCAAATGGTTGGTATATTAATTTAGCTGTTGTACAAAATAAGATAATACAAGGTTGAGTTGAACCATGATTAATATCCATGTTTGTTTCAAACAGAGTGCAAATAATCCAATTTTGTTTTTCTATTGTCAATATACTCTAATGTTTCATCAATTAGGTAACGATCTTTTAAATTATATCAGAAATAGAAAATAGATTTTCTTTAAAACCATTAAACATTTTTTAATTGGTTGCGTCAATATGAACTCTATATACTTTTGACAAAAATGCCACGAGGATGCCTTTGTTGCAAAACCACACAAATTTTTTTTAATGTGCCTGAAGTCATTTGTAGCGCAGTGTCATTTAGTTTGTTATTTATTTATGATTGGGCAGGCAATTTTAATAAAACATACATAAATTGCTCTAACTTCTAAGAGTCGTAATTTAATCTTAATAAAATAAATTAATAATCATGTTTATATGCCCTTAACTATCATAATTACTCTAAAAAATATAGGAATTTTTGTTCATGTAGACCGCTCGGCCACCTCGTCCCCCTATGATATTTATATGTGGTACTTTATTATATTGTCTAGAGCTGTAGTTCCTGCTTTTTTGAGATTGTAAGTTAAATTGAATCATATAAGGGTACTTTACCGCTATTCTCAATTCTGTTATCTTGACTACCACGCTGGTGCCGCGACTGCTCAATTCTATACTGCACACCTCACGCATGTAATTATTCCAATCAACTACCGTACAATGATTCATTTCCAAATGTCTTTCACAAAAATTAACGGATGTTAATTCTGCACTCAAACAATATATAAACCGGAGTATGGTTAAAAAAGGTAGACGACTATTTTAAAACCAATTACCCATACGCATATTGGTTCTATGCTGACACGCCTTGACGTTGCATTTCCAAAATATTTTTCAGTTTTTTTTATGATCGTTTTTGCAATCACGGTGTGTTGGAAGTGAACCCTTTTCTTGAAAAATTCGAGAGCATCTTTTTCGCTGTTTGGTGAATTCCACAGATTCATAATTATTTTAAAATTGATAAATACAATGACAACAGGTAATCAAATGATCTGTAGTCTGGTAATCGCGGCACCGGCATGGTAGTCGAGATAACAGAATTGAGAGTCGCGGCATCGAGTGATAGAGATAACAGAAAAGTACCCATATAAGTATAATATTTTTTGGAAATTATTTTCTATAGGATCATAATTCTTAGTGTAGGTATTCTAAGACTGAGTCTTAATAATTAGCGTTAGCATATATTAATAATAACAGCGGTTTTGGTTGCATGACATCTAATGTGTTACACAAGAAAAAATAAAATAAAAGTTGTTTTTACAATATTATTTTACTACATGCTGCGGTGATTCCTCTCCAAACAGACACCTCCAAATAGCACACATTTAAATCATGATAAATTAAATAATTGATTTAAAAAAATGTTAATGTGTTAGTTTAGTTTTTATTTGCAAATCAAAAATTATTACTTATTTTTCAAATTACTACTCTGATAATGTTAGTTAATTAATTATTTTATTAATATATTTTCAGAATTATACTAGATTATTACTCTCAACATCCACCACCTTGGATTAACAAATCACCATCAATAGCTAAAAAAAAGAAAATGGCCGATACAGATTTAAAAATTGTTGAAGATGTTTTACGTTCATTAACTTTGGCAGCTGAACATTTTCGAAATCTTTGGGATTGGTCAGAATTTACCAATTGCTACTTAAGTCACAATGACAAATATGTTGTTTGGTAAATACTTGTTCTTATTATTAAAACAAAAAGGTGTTTATTTTATTTTATTATTTTTAAGGTTGGCTTGTCAATGCTTGTCAATAATATTGCAATTGACTGAATCTGAAAAAAATAATCTGATTTCACTTCATATGGATGAACAAACCAATGAAGAAAATATGCTAAAATACAACTTAAGGTCCAATTCAAGTAATAAAGACTATTTAAAATCATATATACCAGACCCGGACCAGTACACAACCGTTGAAGAAGTATCTTTGTCTATAGTTGGGCCTCCAACACAGGTAAAACATTGAAAATCCAAATTATTTAACATAATTAAATATGAGGTACTAATATGTTACAATATTAATTGTTTAGCCGGGTGATCTTATACTTGTCAATTCTACGAAACAAAATTTAAGAAACCTATCATTAGCTGTATCAGCAGGAAAAGTAGCTTGTTTGGTTGGACCTGTTGGGAGTGGAAAAAGTGCTTTAGTACATTATTTAGCAAATATTACTGGTTTGTACAATTCAATAAATTATTTATTAACTTTTATACTAATGTTTTTGTATTTTATATTAAGAGGACGTAACACCCACATTTGTTGTTTTTGTCTGACAAGTGTGTTATATGGCAAATTTACGCTCAGAAGTTTATATTTAGCTGCATTAGTGTGATTAAAGTGAATCGACCATTATAAAACTTGTTAAGAACATTATCTGTGTTTGTATTTCGGTATTTTATGATAGTTTAGTTTTTAAGTGAATTATAAGCATTTAAAATTGCATTATTTTATATACTAAAACTAACTAAAAAATTTAATCATAGTAAAAATTGACATACGATCACATATAATGATTTTACCATTAAGTTTCCAAGTCAGTGACACTACTCTAGTGCCTGCTCACAAATGTCACTAACCATTACTTTACAATTTACTCATTATACTTATTTTACTGCATAGGTTGTAAATAATTTTAATAAAATAAAAAATGAATAAAAATCATTAAATTTCATAATAGATTAATTCAACCTGGTTTTTAAACTAACGGTGCTAAGCTTTAACTTTTAAGCGAACATTTGCTATCTTACGTATTTGAGACAGCTAATGTCGGTATAGTGTTGTCTTAAACATTAATTATTTCTTATTATAAACTTTTAAAAATATAAAAATTAATATATTTTATAATATTAAACAACAGAATTTGCTAAAATAACACAAAATATTTTATTATTAGTTTATCTGACTAGGGATTTTACTATAAATAATATCAATCATTCGATTGGGTGATCATGAAACAGTTAATTAAGACTTACTTAATTTGACAATGTATGAAATTATAATATTACTATTAGGTATATTATGTTAAATCATTGAGGACTTTGTTAAGCATTAAATTCTACTATCGAAAATACTCTGTGCTTGTTTCACAGTTTATACTAGGGGTTTTATTTTTATTTTGGGCTGATCCTGTATGTCATGCAAATAAAATAAAAATGTTATTGTATTGCTATTAGTAAAGCTTATCTTTAATATGTAAATAGGACATACTGATGAAAAATTACTTACTGTTCAACTGGGTGATGAAACTGATTCTAAGATGATGTTAGGATCATATCATTGCACAGACATACCTGGAGAATTTGTTTGGCAGCCAGGAGCTCTAACAAAGGTTAGTTGCTATGAATTTTTTTTACCTATATTATCATAATTATTAGCTTGAAATAACATAAAATATATTTATCTTTTAAGCAACGCATTCTTATTGTGTAAGGGTTATATTATATCAGTATGACCTAATTAGAGAATTACTCAAATACAATTTTAATTTTATGTAAACATAAAAAAATTAATATTTTACTCATTTTTAATATTTAGGCTGTAACTGAAGGAAAATGGCTATTGCTTGAAGATATTGATTCAGCTTCTAGTGATTTGGCAGCTGTTCTCGTCTCTCTTGTAGAAAGTCGATCGCTAACTGTTCCTGGATTTAGAGATCGACTTATTCCAGCTACTGGATTTCAACTGTTTTTCACTCAAAGAGTTATAACTACTACTAGTGGTTACTATCATAAACAAAACATTGCAACAGATTTATTAGGAAAGCACTATATCCAAATAAATGTTGAACCACTTAGCAAAAGCGAACTAATTGAAGTTATTGAAATTAAGGTAAATACCAATGTTTTTCATTAATTATATATAAATTATAAATAAATATGATTTTATTTTGTTAAAAAATTTTTTCAGTTTCCTATATTAAAGACAATTGCCCCAAAAATCATTGACGTGTTCTTATTATTTTCTGCTGGATTTCATAATAGTGATGCTATATTGAGTTTAAAAAGAAATGGAAGATTAACTTCTACAAGAGATTTGATGAAATGGTGTGCAAGGATTGTTAAAGAATATGATGTGACATCAAGTGAATCAGCTTTAAAAGTAATCCAAGATGCAATTGACATATTTTGCTGTAGTGCTGCAAATCCAAGTACATATTATATTACAAAATATTTAAAATATAATTTAATTAATTAGTATCATTAAAGTACTTGATTAAAGCTGACGAGTGAAGTACAAAAGTAGTTTGATTGTACAATGATTTTAATAACTTAATATAGTATTTCGGATTTTTTTTTTTAATAATCCTAAGTATATTTATGTGCTTAAGATGATGTTATGATTTAAAATTTAATATATCTTGTTATTGTATATATACTATAAATTATAATTAAGTAAAATGATGGAGTTGGCGACTCATGTCATATTGCCAAAAAAAACCAAATTTTACATAATTTAGATAAACCAATTTTTGTATCTTTTTTTTATCCAATCTTAAAACATAAATTTGAAAAGGTTCATGTTTTTTTCCATTTGTTTATAACAAATTAGTGACTATTAATGACAAAAAATAAAACATTACGATACAGTTTATCTATTCTCTTCTATTTAGTATTTTAGTGGGAACATTTGGTAAATATTTTATTTGTTAGCTTACCCACATGTTACTATTTTTCTATATAATATTATTATTACTTGAAAACGTTACTGTTAAGGGGACACTTAAAACTATTAAATTCTTTGAATTATAATATATGTAAATTTATTTAAGATTTAAAATTTTAATTCTTATCAAAATGTAATTGAATTTGGTTATACCAAATCCCTTAAATATTGAGTGTTCTTAAATAAAACCTTTTTATCTATTTAAATAATCCTATAATCAGGCACACTAGAGAACTCAACTGGGTGGCAACCACAATGTGTTTAAGTTGACGTGTTACTACCAATTGCCCAAAGTGGGGGAAACAGTTTACTTATCTCGTGGATTAGAGTATAGAACACACATTGTCTTATACTTAAATATATTTATACCATTTTAATGATAGTAAATTGAAAACAACTATCAATTCTTAATTTATTAATTTAGTTATTTATTTAATGTGTTGCGTATTATTGTATTCTAATTATTTTTTTTTTCAGAAACAAGACTTGAACTTGCTTGTCATGTTGCTTCTTTAGTTGGTGTTGTGAAAACTAAAGCAGAATTTTTTTTAAATGAGTATAAACCAACTGTTGTACTTGATGAGAAACACTGCATTGCAGGTCGAGTTACATTACCTCGCACTGGTTCTTTTTTAACAGACAATTATATGTAAGAATTTAATGTTTTCATTTTATGATAAAAGAAGTATTGCTGTATTTAAGTAAATAAACTACAGGGGTTTGATTTTATAACAGCTGCAAAAGGGGCATTAAGAATATGCCGTTATACACAAAATTAATTTTTAATTTTTTAAAATAATTATAGCGATCACTAATTTACACATACTTAATATTATATATTTATAATTCTAAATTACTAAATATTACCCAAAAATGATTATCATTATTTTGTTTAAACTATATACATTTACATTCCATTAACCTAACAAAAAGTGGAAAAAAAAAATTAAATACAAATTAATAAAAAGTATTATTAAATCGAATAGTATACACTTTAAACTACACGAAAAACCGTTAAGACAGCCCCAACAATACTAAAAACAGTTACAAATATTTATGATTTTATCCCACATATTTTCATGATACTATTTTAAAGACTATTAATAAATTACACTTGAAAAATACATGTGATAATAATATTATAGTCGCTATAAAACGTTCAAATATATGTATATTATTTATATAGTCTCTAAATTGTATGTAACTATATATTGTTATAACTTATAGTTAATCATTTAGTACATACAAATATAGTGAATTTTTCGGTGACATTGAAATATAATTTAATTTTAATATTCAGCCAATATGTATGCCGTGATGAATGATACTATCTGTTGTTTTCATGTTTTCAATCCAAAAGAAATTAAAATCTTGAGTTTACAGTCTGTTTAATTATTTTTAAAAATTAAATGCAGGTAATCTTTCAAGATAAAAATCAGGGTTCATATACAGTGTGATTCTTTTATCATTGAACACTCATTATTTCAAGAAGTGTAAATGTTTTTGAAAATATTATTTTACATATAGTGGAGTGGAGTGGAGTGGTACTGGGTTACCCCGCGAAATGTTTGTCATCTACTCCACCCATCTAAACTTTAAATACTTATAACTATAATAGACTAAATTCAATTTTATGTTTCGAAATACTTAGACAAATATTCTGCTTTGGAATTTGAAATTAAAACTCTGTTATCATTCATAAAAGAAAAAAATTATAAGGATAAAAAATGTTGTTTTGTAAACGACTTGAAACTGTGTAAGATATTATTTTAAAAAACATTTATACTTCTTGAAATAATGAGTGTTCAATGATAAAAGAAACACCCTGTATAGGTACTTAAAAAAAAAGTATTTATTTTGCCCTTCTGAGTACATAAAATTTAAGTATACCTTTTAAATTAAACCCCTCTAGCTTTTGTACATTTTGTATGATTTGTCCAACCAATTTAATTTTGTTATTATATTTTGTAATATGTTAGACATAAGTATAATATATTTTTTTTTCAGATCAAATTCTTCAAAGTTTGCTTTAACACGTTCATCTTCTTGTCTTTTGGAACGTATCGCTTGTTCGATTGCTACTAAAGAATCTGTATTGCTTGTCGGTGAAACTGGTACAGGAAAGACATCAACACTTCAACTATTAGCAAAACACACAGGAAATAAATTAACTGTTTTAAATATGAACCAACAAAGTGATAGTGTTGATCTCATTGGAGGATATAAACCAGTTGAATTAAAGATTATTATCAAACCAATTAGAGAAGAGTTTGAAAGTCTTTTTCGAGCAGAGTTTAATGTTGAACAAAATAAAAAATTTTTGGGCCATATATCAGTAAATTAATCATCATAACCATATTATATTGTTAAACTAATAATTTAAATTTTTTTTCTAGACTTGTTTTAATAACCGTGATTGGAATAATTTGATAAAATTAATGAAACATGTTTTACAAAAAGCCATAAACAAAAACACAAAGAATAATAATCCTGTTAAATCTTGGTTGGAGTTAAATGAAAAATTGAAACGTTTTGAAGTTCAATTAAAACATTGTCAGACTGCAATGGCTTTTGCGTTTGTAGAAGGAAGTCTTATACGAGCTGTTAGAGAAGGTGATGCAATACAAATTACATTCAAATCCATAGCAGCATATATTAATTCTATACATTTTTAGGATACTGGGTTTTATTGGACGAAATAAACCTTGCTTCAGCCGAAACATTACAATGCTTATCCAGTTTACTTGAATCTGATGGAACTGTGACTATATATGAAAAAACTGATTCTAAACCTATATCTAGACATCCAAATTTTAGATTAATGGCTGCTATGAATCCGGCTACAGATGTGGGAAAAAAAGACTTGCCTCCTGGCATAAGAAACAGGTATTGTCTATTAAATTACTAACTTGTAATTTAATATTTTATTAATGTTAATTTATATTTTTTCAGATTTACAGAATTCTTTGTTGAAGAGTTAACAGATCGATCTGATTTAATTACTTTAACAGCTTGCTATTTATCAGACTACTCTGCTCAAAAATTGAATGCTATATCTAAATTTTACTTAATTGCCAGACGTGAAGCTGAAAACTTTTTAGTTGATGGCACAGGGCACAAACCTCATTACAGTTTGAGAACTTATTGTCGTGCATTGTCTATAGCATCTTCAAATCCATGTCAATCTGCTCAGAGATCGTTGTATGAATCTTTCTGTCTAAGTTTCCTTACTCAATTGGATAGTTCCTCTCATAAACGTGTTGAGTCATTAATAGCTACTACTATGTTTGGTGAAAAATTGATTCAAGGAGTTATTAATCAGCCTATTCCAAAACCTTTAATAAATACAGAATCTTTTATTCATTTTGAAGGTTATTGGATTCAAAAAGGAATATTAGAACCTTCAACTTCTGAAAAAGTATGGATATAGAATTTAAAATTAAATATGTTTGACTAAAATTGAAATATTTTGCAGTATATTTTAACAAATAGTGTTAAAAAGAATTTACGCGATCTTGTTCGAGCTGTTTCATTGAGTTGCTTCCCAGTCTTAATTCAAGGCGATACTTGTGTTGGAAAAACAAGTCTAATCACTTATTTAGCAGCAGCATCTGGTAATGTTTTAGTACGTATTAATAATCATGAACACACAGATTTACAAGAGTATATTGGTTCATATTCTGCTCAATCCATTACTGGTCAACTAGTTTTTAAAGAAGGTTAGTAATGAATATTAGTACATTGGTTTTGTAAGAGTTATTCTGTTAAATTAATTTTCTATTACTTTTTTTAAGATGTACTGTAGTATTGCTTAAATAAGTGGTTATCGATCAGTTCCACACCACTGTTTTGGTTGGCAACTTGTGTCATTACTCCACCATATTCTGTCCATTTATACCCCTATACTTTTATTAATTATTAATTAATATTACCTTTATTCAGTTTAAACTATGTACATTTTTATAGGTGTTTTGGTTGAAGCAATGAGAAAAGGTCATTGGATTGTATTAGATGAGTTGAATTTAGCACCAACTGACGTGTTAGAAGCTTTGAACCGTGTGTTAGATGATAATCGTGAATTATTTATACCAGAAACACAAACTACTATCAAAGCTCATCCTGGGTTTAGAATATTTGCTACTCAAAATCCTCCGGGTTTATATGGTGGTCGTAAAGTAAGTTCATAATTATTTATTTAACTCCAAGCCTTGTAGTTTTTATTAAAATATGAAGGCTTGTTAAATAAATATTAGGAAAATAAATAGAACATAAGTAAATTATAGTCAAAACTAATACAAATATATTAAAAGATTGAGACCTGGTTTAAAATCATCATTCAGAATTATATTTCTGATTATATACTAAAATAAGATTGCAATTCTCGTCACAATTTTTTAGTGTATAGAAATGCATCAACCAAATAAATATAAGAATATTAATTTTATCTATGTTCAAATAAATGTCAATTGCTTATTACATTAAGAATATGGTAATTTTATTCTTGATAAATATTAAGAATTTTAAAGTATTTTTCATATTGTGATATGATATTATAGTAATATATAGTTCAATTATACTTTTGACAGAATGATTATGATGATTAATTTTAATTTATGGAAAACAATTGATTAACAATTCGCCTACCGAATAAGTAGGTCGTATCTCTGTTTTCACAAATTTTTTTTTTTTCAAAGTTGTCCTAACTGTTTTTGTGTAGTTCCCACTAAACTGATAGTAGCATAAAACAGTCAAAGACGTTCTATACAATAAAATGCAGTTACTACCGTCTTCGCGGGAACTACACAAAACTTTGAAAAACAACTTTGAAAAAAAAAATAAAAATTTGTGAAAACAGAGATACGACTTTTTTCGCTGCGGCAGGCGAATTGATATTATAGTAATATATAGTTCAATTATATTTTTGACAGAATGATTATGATGATTCATTTTATTTTTATGGAAAACAATTGATTTTAGAAACGTATTTTTATGTCTAGATATTATCCAGAGCATTCAAAAACCGCTTTATTGAAATGCATTTTGATGAGATTCCAGCCGATGAGTTGGAAACAATATTGTTTCAACGCTGTGAAATTCCTTTGTCGTATGCTAAAAAGGTAATATCAGTTATGAAAGATCTACAATCAACACGAAAAGGAAGTGCTGCATTTGCTGGAAAACATGGTTTTATAACGCTAAGAGATTTATTCAGATGGGGTGAACGATATCGTTTGGCAAAGGATTCAGAAAATTATGACTGGAATCAACACTTAGTGGACGAAGGTGAGCAAATTTTTTTTTTTTAGTGACAATGAAATTCATTTTTTTCCTACTTTCCATTACTTTATATATTTTTTTTTAGGTTTTTTGGTATTAGCTTCTAAAGTTCGTAAACCAGAAGAGGAAACAACTATATTACTCGTATTAGAAAAACATTTTAAATGTTCACTCTCTTTAGATAGATTATTTACATGTGAGATACTTTCATTAATTATATTTTTATATTTTTGTACTAAAAATAAAATAAAATTGTTATAGTAAATGATAAAACATCACCAATAACTCGCCATATACTTGAAAAACTAGAAATACTGCCTACTGGATTTAAACATGTTTATATGTCCAAAAACATTAGACGAATGGTGGTACTTGCTTGTAAGTATAATATTATGGTTTACAAATAACATATTTATGGTACTTATGTATGGATACATACATATAATAATACTTATTATTGTATGGATACATACATATGATATTACTTATTATTTGTTTTTATATTAGGTAAAGCAATTGAGTTCAACGAACCCATATTATTAGTTGGTGAAACTGGCTGTGGTAAAACAACCGTGTGTCAAATGATTGCTGCAATAAATGAAAAAAAATTACTAACTGTAAATTGCCATCAGCATACTGAAAGTTCAGACTTTCTTGGCGGACTAAGGCCTGTTCGAAATAGAGAGCAAGATAGTGATCAGAGGCTATTTGAATGGGTTGATGGACCATTAATAGAATCAATAACTCGTGGCCATATGTTTTTAGCTGATGAAATTTCTTTGGCTGATGACAGTGTTTTAGAACGTTTTAATTCATTGTTAGGTTAGTTTTTAATAAATATGAAAATAGTACCTAATTAATAAATAATAGTATTAAACAAATAACTATACATTGTTCAATTTCCAGAACCTGAAAGAAAACTATTACTTACTGAAAAAATTGGAGATGATGATGGTAAATCAGAACTTGTTGCACACCCAGAGTTTTGTTTTGTTGGTACAATGAACCCCGGAGGTGATTATGGCAAGAAAGAAGTATGTTAAAGAAAAAAATAGTAGATAACATTAATAAATATTTTAAATGCAACTTTTTTTTTATTTATATTTTGATAATTAATGGTTTTAGTTATCGCCAGCACTTAGAAATCGCTTAACAGAAATTTGGTGTGAGAGTTGCTCTGATAATGATGATCTTGTTCAAATTATTAATCACAACTTTTCGACATCTGATGATAACAGTTTATTTTTGAGTAAATCGATGGTTGATTTTGTTAACTGGATAAAATCTTTTGAACAAATAAAAAGGTAAGCCATTTTTTACAATTTAAGTATATGTAATTATTTGCTTAAAATAATTTATTTGGTATGCAAATAATTTTTAGTTTCAACTATATCATTAAAAATAGATCTGTTACACTCACATTTACTGTCTTGTCTATCTCATGCATAACAGAATGTATCAGTGTATTATTTAAGGTTTCTTGCATAATTTTGAGCTTCTTCGTGGATTTTTAATCAAAAAGAATTATTCTCATTCAATGTTCTATTGTTATTCCTAATCTCGTTTTTTGCGTCAAATGGATCCTTTTGAAAAATTACGATTAGTAATACTAAATTAGATAAAGAAAACCTTAGCCCGTTACAATTTAACTTTTTAGAGTAGACATATCATATAAGACATAAAGACCCTAGTGTTATATGCCTTGAAATCCCTTGAAAACCATTGAATGCCATTAAATAATTTAAAAAATTTTAAATTATACTTTATTCTGATTAAAAAATACATAAAACATTTATGTTATAAAACGAGAATCAAATAGCTAACTTTGGAAAGCAATGCATTATAATCTCAGCTCAAAATCATTAGTAATTTAATTTTATAAAATATAATATAATATTGTGATGTATCTTCAGTCACTTATGGCTTTTATCTATTTTTTGAATACTAATAAAGCTATAAAAGTGTCCTTGGCATAACATGTTAAATTGTAAACTGACTTACTGAGTTAAAAAGACAAATTTTGTTTCTGTATAAACAAAGACTGTAAATGCAGGAAAATGATCTTGATAATTTTTTTTATTGCTTATTTAATAGTTATAATTTGTATATATTAATTTAATTTAAATTTTGAATACTGTAATATTTATAAATGACATATTATGTACTACTTTCATAGTTACTTAAAGTTGAACATAACCATCAGAGACTATTTAATTTGGGTAAAATTTATTGAATCAATGATGAGCCAAATACCAAGCAATGATATCAATTATAATAGTATGCTAGCATTTTTTACGTTTTATAAGGAAGGAGCAATTATGATATTTCTAGACAAGATAAATACCATAAGAAATCTGTAAGTTTTAATTTTTAATTGATCTTGTCAAATATTAATTTTAATGTTTTTCTAGTTATGATCATATCATTGTATACGCTTTGAAAGATAGTTTAGTTAAACATTATCCTAAATCTTTAAAAATTGAAGATACCGACATTTTTGAAAAATTAGTTAATTTCTTTCCATTAAAAAGTCTGCCAGAATGGTTTGGATATGATGGATATTACATACCTATAGGTATTATTTATATTTATATTTATATATTATACATATTATAATACTATAATTTTATTTTCCATATATAATTGTTAATAGGTAACATGCCTCTAGAACCAGTTGGTGCCTTTTCATTTGACGCGCCTACTACCAAGTCAAATGTCTTAAGATTATTACGATGCATGCAAATAGAGAATCGGGCAATTTTGCTAGAAGGTAGCCCAGGAGTGGGCAAAACAAGTTTAATTCAAGCAGTATCCAAAGCATCAGGTCATAAATTGACTCGTATTAATCTCTCAGAACAAACAGACGTATCAGATCTATTTGGGGCAGATTTACCTACAGATGGTGGTGATGGCGGTTGTTTTGAATGGAGAGATGGTCCATTTTTAAGAGCATTAAAAGAAGGAAATTGGATTTTATTAGATGAAGTACGATATACTATTTTAATTTATACTTTGAAACTTGTACATTTGTTTGTAAACTATTACTAACATACTGTTAACAAAATATTCTTTGAAGCAAGGGTCAGCAATATTTTTCATATAAAAGTCTAAAATAATATTTTTACAATTTTTTTTTTATTAAGGACTACAGGAGATTAACATTTTTGTTTTTTAATTATTTAAGTAGGTGTTTAATATTTATTAAAGTTGCCAATCCCCGCTTTAAAGTATTAACAACTGTTTCGTAATGACTGTTTTGTTATATGAATAAAAAGACAAATTAGTGGTTGTGTTACAATAGTGTTTTATGACTTAAGCAAATAATAAAAATAATAAGTGTTTATTATGTTAATTTTAATAGTTAAATTTAGCATCACAATCAGTACTTGAAGGTTTAAATGCAGTTCTTGATCATAGAGGTGAATTATATATCCCCGAACTTGGCAGGACTTTTATTATAGAATCTAAGAAAACTAAATTATTTGCATGTCAAAATCCAATGAGTGAAGGAGGAGCACGAAAAGGATTACCAAAATCATTTTTGAATCGTTTTCTTCAAGTAACTAAATAAAGGCTAATGTTAAATATTATAAATTAAATTGCATAAAAAATTCTAACTATATTAATTAATTTAAACCATTGTTATATTTTAGGTTCATTTACATGCATTAGATTATAAAAATATTGTGAGCATAATGAATACAATTTATGAACCAAAAATTACACAGATTCGACCGTTAAATTTAAAAAAAGTAGTCAAATTTACATTGTCTTTCTGTAATAAATATAACGTGGACATTAATCTAAGAGATATATTACGCTGGGTTGATGTAACTTTGACACTGAAATGTAATATATTAGACCATTTATCATTAATATTTACTGATCGTACAGCAAACTTAAAAAGTGTGGAAAATGAAGTAATTATTATCAAACATAATATAAACTTATTATTTGTATATATTTAGGTCAGAGATAAATACATACAATTGAGGAACATTTTTTAACTTTTCACTTAAAATATTAATCCTTTTCAATACTAAAATTATATGACAGTCTCTTTATATGAATTATATTTTAATTATGGATTTCATGAAGCACATGCCACATAATAGATTTTGTAATTTTTAACCTGTTCCGTGACCCGTGTCTACCAACAGAATATGATTGTATAAAAATATAAGTTTGCCACCTAATAGTGGTAGATACTAGATCCTCCTCCCACATCACATTATTATTAGATAATGATGGTTCTATGATAGGATTGTATTTTTGGTATTGTTATAAGCCTTTTTTGGATGGAGTTTAGCAATATATTTGAAAAACCAGAAAATAGCTCAAAATTCTCTGACCTAATTATACCTTTATATTTGTAATTGTTTATATAATACATTTGTATGTAGGTACTCAAGGAGCTGAAAAAAATGGTTGCCATTACTGGGCGAAGATATGATTACTTAAGAATATTTCCTTCTGGTGTTATGTTTAATAGATTTGTAGTACCACGTAATCGTGCAATTGGCATGCCAATCGATCAAAGTAATAATAAATTGATTTTGAGGTCACATGTCCATACATTGAATTCTTTAGCTGTTTGTATGAAAATGAATTGGATGCCAATTTTGGTAATATATATATACGTTTGTTAAGTAAACTTAATTACTTTCTAATTATCCATAATTATTCTAAATACTTTTTTTTTTTATTTAAATTAAATAAAAATAAAAGTTAATGATGTAATTTATGAATTTGTAATAATACTTTTCTTAATACCAATAATTTATTATTGTTACCTTATTTAGGAAATTGCCAAATATACCGAATTATCTATTATTTTACAGTTAAGAAATCTATATAATGGTTAACATTATTTTTGTGGTTTACTTTAGGTGGGTAGCGGTAGTGGAAAAACGTCAGTGATAAAAACACTTGCTCAATTATATGGATGTGAATTGCGCGTATTATCTGTAAATGCCGCTATGGATACAATGGAAATATTAGGTGGATTTGAGCAAGTATGTAAATTAATGAATTAAAATAAATTATATTTTAGATTATGAGCGGAGCGAGGAAGCTAGTGGTTTAATTTTTTTTTTTTTTATGTCCTGTATACAACATTTTTACCAGAAGTAGTGCTCATAGTATATTATCTTTTAGAAAATTGGATCAAGATGGTACTTGATTGTACTCTTTTTTTCAATTTTCTCAATAGTTATTTATTACCTTGAGAAAAATCCCCTACAAATTACAAAAAACTGCTAAAAATGGGATTTTTATTTCTAGCACTTTGTTTATCACCATAGAAACGAATAAAAAATTTTAATATTATAATATTACTTCAATTTACATGATATAATAAATAATAACAATATAAAATATCCAGACTGACAAACTGTCACCGCTCCGAATCATTTTTCTTATACAATGATATTATATCATTGAATTCAAGTTTAATACAATACATTATACATTGACCCATTTGTGACCTACTGTACAGCAGAGCGACATCCACGTACCCGCTTTTTTGAAATATATGTTTCTTCATTTTTAGGCAGACTTTAATAGACACCTTGAAGAATTTGCTAGAAGAATAGAAAATAAAATGTTTTTTGAAGTTGGTGAACAACTTTTAAGTGGTCGAAATTATGACATTTCCATACTAACTTTGTGGAATGAATATAAGACCATGACCGGTAAAATATGAACAAAAGAATATCTTTGTTTTATAGTTTTATTAACTTGTATTTATTTTATTATGTTGTTAGATTTTTCCAATAATACAGTAACCACTATGGCCTCTGAAACGACATTATTTAAAAAACGGATAGATAAGTTAATTCAAATTGCAAATGTATTTGTAAATGATGAATTACTTTGTTTACTTAAAGCTCTTAGAGAACGTGTTTGTTCTACTGGAAATTTAAATTCTGGTGGAAAGTTTGAGTGGATTGATAGTATTTTAGTAAAGGTCAGTTTATATTATATTCAACTAATAAATATGTCAATTCATTTTTTTTAAATTTTTATTTCAGTGCTTAAATGATGGCAGTTGGTTGTTAATTGATAATGTAAATTTATGCAGTCCAGCTGTATTAGACCGTTTAAATGGATTGTTAGAACCAAATGGGATTTTAGAATTAGGTGAAAAGGGAATCGGTTCTGATGGACAAATTACAACTATAACACCACATGACAATTTTAGACTCTTCTTAGCTATGGATCCAAAACATGGAAGTATTTCGAGGTAAACATTACAACAATATATTTGGAGTATAAATTCTAAATGCATTGCGTTTCAGAGCTATGAAAAATCGTGGAGTTGAAATTTATATGGGTCCATTAGATGAAATAAACAATAATGATATTCATTCAATGATAGAGCAACAAGGTATTTGTGACAAGTCAATCAGTCACACGTTGCTAAAAATTCATAAAATGATGAAAACCCTCGTTTCTGGAACTAATATTAGTATTAATCATCTTCTTCGTACAGCATATTTAGTGTCTCAAAACATTAAACGAGATCAATCAATTACACAAATTATACGAGAAATTTGTATTGACACATATGTCCGTTGTTTAAATGAAAATTCAAAACAAAATGCTATTTTAGAAATTGATAGGCTTTTAGAAGAACATACTACTACTTCAAATGAATTTTTGTTTTCAAACCTCCAAACAATAGATATTTTACAATATTCGAGTTTAAGTTACATAAAACAACAGTGCAATATTTTAAAATATGAACATTTTAATAATACCCATATAGACGATTTATTATTGTGTTATTTTGGGCGCTCATCAAGTTCAGATATTTCAATTAGAAGTAAATTGTTATCAACACAGATAAACATTGAAAATGAAGCCATACAGAATTTTGTAAAAAAACCTCCTGTTATGGGATTCGATGAATTACCATTTTGGAAAAAATCTGTTCATCATATACCTTTCGAGGAATTACCATATGACTTTCGATATTTGCCAAGTATTTATTTTAATAGAGGTCGACCTCTTAATGAACCTACAGAATTTTATGAAAACAAAATCCATTTGATGTTAGATCATGCATTATATCTAGCTTTAGATGAACATTTGGCACCTTCAAAGTTACATAAAAAAAGTAAGTTACACAAAATATTAAATTTAATATTATAATTGTATTGTTTTATTTTATTTTTAGGACTAATGATAGCAGATGGTGGTATAATGCATGATTATGCTGTCCTATCAATCGCTTTTGATAAATATATCGAGTTTTACTTGGGTAATAGTACATTTTCTATTCTTGATAAAGATTGTGTACTATTTAAAGAAATGATTATTTGGATACACACAATCGAAAAACTTCTTTTTGAAAACTTGGACAAAGAAAAAGAATTAATTACCGTACTAATACATTGTTATTTTAATATTGTTACAAAAAACTTTTTACCCATGTTGGAAATGAGTACCAGAAAAAATAGGTACTATTCTTTAACTTTTAATTATAATTGTATTTAATTAATAATCTTATAATTTACTAGACATATAGAATTGGAACGATTCAGCTCAATGATAGTTGAAATCACAACCAATTACCTAACACCAAAACATTGTGCAAGACTTCTCAAATTGTTTATATCTGAAAATAAATTACCATCAACTTTGTGTTGCAAAAATCATGGTGATAAAAATATTGAAGCATACAGGTTAGTGACATGAATAAATTATTTTATATTATAATGGTTTCATGACATAAAAGTCATCAATGTGTAAGCAGTAAACTGCAAGTCTTGCTTTTCGCATTTATATTAATTTAAAATCTTCACGTGTTCATCATATTACATTCACAATCCTAATATTTTAATTTCCATATTCATCATAAATCATCTAATAGGGCTCAAATATGTTTTAATGTAGCTAAGTAAATTTTCTTAAAATAGTTATTATAATAATTAATATGACATAATATATTGTATTCTTTTATTTATGATAATAGACGAAATAGTGAATTTATATCTGCGATTAAGTCAAATAATATTCAAGCATTAATGACACCGGAAATTAAAAATGAAAGAGATGATTTACTGTTGTATAAATACATTGGATGTAAAACAATTCCTAACTATCCTGAAGGTAATAGAATAATACCACATAGTTTATGTCATTGGTTGTTATTAATATTTTGTTTTCCTCAGAATTGGTAAATAATAAAATGAATGACATGGAATTAAATCTTATTCCATTATGGGAATTAGTAATTGAACGGAATTTCCTGTCACGTATCAAATATAGTATATTAAATGAAGACGACTATTTCCATAATAAACATTATGATTTTATGCAATCATTGTTAAAATTTGTTCCTACTGTATCACCGGTTTACTGCAATTCATTAAAATATAATTTCACTGTAGAATTTTTAATTGAAGCTCTAAAATATTCTATGAACTCAGTAGCTGTAGAAAATCCAAAGTTATACTTAGAATGGTCACCTAAAAAAATTGATAATTTGGAAAATCATGACACAATTAATGAAGTATTTATTTCAATTATTTATTATTTATTATCTATATATTTACTCTATTTATTATATTTATTTAGGAAATGCTGTACTCATTTGAACAACCATTATTCACTAATTTTATTACTAGCATATTATTGAAGAAAGCTGAACCTTACTATACATTTGCTCCAAGACCAATCCGGTTCATAGATAAAAACAGTCATAATTTATCATGTATCAAAAGTTTTATTTGGAATTCCTCTAAATGGACTTCAGATGTTCAGTTAGTTATAATTATGCTGTATAATATCATGTGTATATTTATAATTATTATTTTTCTTAATAATTTTGGTTATTTTTTTTTTATAGTTTTGAAAATATTGAAACATTATTGAAGCTTGTAGAATTGTTTTTCATTCCATTTTTACCTTCTGATTTTTCAACCTTTGAAGAAGTGCACTCAGCTAGAGACGATGCTGGTTGTAAGAGTGCAATTTATGCTATAGTTGGCCACCATAAAACTATGGCTAAAGCAATTTTTGATATTGCTAAAGTAGTATCACATATTGTAAGCGATTTACATTTGTTTCATAATAAAAAACACCCCACGAACGTTGAACGTGATAACTTAATTAAACAAATACAATTTAATGCTGGTTGCTTATGGATATTATCCGGCATGTGCTTACTGGAAATTTCAACTTCAGTTTGTCCTGTTGATCCATTACAAAGATCTATAGTACGATTTGAGTGTTATAAAGCTGAGGTATAATATTCAATATCATAAATTATGATTAACCAATGATTTATCATTTATAAAAAAAAAATTTTTTTAGAAAGCTAAAATCATTAGTAGATTAAATGCCGAGGAACAATTTTGTAAAGTTGACTGTGTATCGGATCTATTTCCATTTAAAGATTACTACCGTCGAAGACTTAAGTTATTAAATGCACAAAAACTTAGGGTTGGCTATAGGCCAGAACCTCCACAATACAACATTATTTTAGAAGTAAGTTTTATTGTTATTATTATTATTTTTTAATTATCAAAATATAATTTATAAACATTTTTTTTATAGGAAGTTGATCGTTTTTCAAAAATGTATGGTTTGGAAAGCAATACTTATAACATGATAAATTCAAACTCTGATTCTGAAGCTCTTGTGAACGAAATGGATAACTGGCTTAGTTCTGTTTCTAATTTTCATAATAACTTAAATGAAAAATATGCAGCTTATCCAGATCTTCTTACTGGGATACTTCTTTCCATTAATCAAGTAAAATTTAAAAATTAAATATTTATTATTGTTAAGTTACAAACTTTAAAACTTATTCAGATGAGATATGGAATGAGGATGTTAAAAAATCATTATAAGTGGTCCATACCAAGGGAAAAAAATGTTACCAGCGAAGATGTAGAATTATTAACATTATTTGGAGAATTTCCACGATATTGCCCTGATATTATAAAAATGACAAATATGGATGATGCTGTTTCAATGAATATAAGTGACAAATTTAGGTAAATACTATATCACTTTTTTATTTTTAAATAAGACTAACATAATGTATTTTTAAGGTGGTACAAGTTATGCTTAGAAGAATTAAATAATATGATGTATTTGAGTAGCAAATCATATAGAACTGAACAATACATGAAATCTATTGAATATGTTCTTGAAAAGTTTGTGCTCAACTGGAAACGTTTTCAAGAAGAAGAAGAAAACAAAAAACGTGAAGAAGATAGCATATATAAACAAAAATCATTCTGTGAAACTATACCTGAAGAAATTGAAATTTCCCAAGGAGTTGCTCGTCAATTCCCAACTACTAAACATTCCGATTTTGATGATATTGAGGGACCCTTAACACTCGATAATGATATTTCAATGGATTCTGTTCCTCAAGAAATCTACAAGCTGACTGATAAAGATATAAATGACATTTGTCGATTACATACCGATTTAGTGAGACCAGCAGCTAAAGCTCATTGGTTAACTGTATCTCCAGAAGAGTTTGATCAGAAAAATGCTATTACTAGAGTGAAAAATTCATTTTCTGACAGATTTTGCTTATTTGGAAAACTATTAATGTCTAAATTTATGTATTTGGATAGTTCAATGGATAGTAAAATGTTACCATGGCTTTTAATGGCTACTGACATAGCAAACAATCCAAAACAACTTGATAATAAGGGTTATTATGATTTTTATCGAGATTCTAATCTAGAATATGCCAAAAAGACTTATGAAGTCCTTAAAAATGTTGAAGATCATATTCAAAAACTATTGCAAGAATGGCCAGATCATCCAACATTACAAACAGTAAGCCCCTATTTGCTCTTCAGAATATTCATGAAATAATTTTTATTTGTTTTATAGATAATTAAAGTAGTAGAACGTATAATGAATTTCGACTGGTCAAGTCCAACATGTCGTTTTCTTATTGGACTGGAACTTCTTTTAACTAAGCTCCATGAATGGGAAGAAGTTGCTCACCGTGGTGTTAGTGTTCGTGAGTTAACATTAACTGTAACTCATTATATCCAAGAATATCGGAGTCTTGAGTTGAGTACTTGGAAAGATTGTTTAAAAACTTCACTGAAAAAGTAAGATTAATTTGTTTAATGTAATGTTCATGTTTAACCTCCTAAATTAAATGTATACAAACTATTTATTAGGATTCAAAATGATTCATCTAAATGGTGGTTTCATTTGTATTCAATTTTTCAAGCATATCTTCACAAACAAGATAGTTTTCAACAACTAGTAACTGCTGTGCAAAAGTTTATGGAAAGTTCTTCCTTAGGCCAATACGTAGCAAGATTAGAATTACTTTATACATTCCATTGTGACATAATTTGTAGAGAAAAAACTAAAGAGCAAATTGAATTATGTAGTGCATCTTGGAATCTTTATAAATATTATTCTCAATTTAAAGATAGTATAAATCTTCGCATTGAAACATTGAGCGCTGATACCAAGAAAAAGTTACAAGATTTTGTAAAAATAGTAAAATGGAATGATATTAACTACTGGTCTGTAAAAGAAACTGTAACAAAAGTTCAACAAACATTACACAAATATACACGAGAGTATGAGGTAATGTAAAATATAAATCTGTTTAAATATATATTACTAGCTGATCCCGTACACTTCGTTGCCCATAAAAAATACCAACGCTATTTTATAAATAATATGTTTTTCTTATAATATAACGGTTACCATAACAACAATTTTAAACCAATAATTATTATTATTATAGCTTTGAAACCCACGGCAACCATTTATAAACAAACATTTCCATCGGAAATCTCAAAATCCCTGTTTGAGCACGTCCCGGTAGTTGGTCTTCTCCCCTTTTAAATTAGCCTATCTTTTGCCCAGAGAGCTAACCTATCTCTGTTACAAATGATCCCATGTACTTCGTTACCCGGCAACCAATAAATATTATTATAATAGCTTCAAAACCCATGGCAACCATTTATAAACAAAAATTCTCCAGCTCTATTTGTATTTATATACAAAACATTCCATCGGAAATCTCAAAATAATATATAATATGGTTGCCATGGTAATATGGACACACACACACACTGACATACATTCATTTTTATATATATAGATTAATTATTTATGTTTTTATTTCTACAGGAAATTTTGAATAATCCTGCATCATTTGCCATGACTACACAAACGGAAATATTGAGTACTAAGACTGATAAGTACGAAGTACCCATTTTTAAGATTGATAACTATTTGAAAACCTGCGAGATATTTTTGGTAAATATACTATTATTATATAACTGTTAAATCTTTTTTGTCTTAATATTCCAATTTCTGTCTTAGTATATTCAGCCATCAAGCTCATTTAATATCCTTACAAATATTAACAATTATTCTAAAAAGTTATTTACAATTTCTGGTAGAATAATGAATAATTGTGGTTATTCTGAACACATAACTGAATTGAATGATTTTGTAAATGGAGTAATGGAATCAAGTCAAGAACTACGTGATCTAAATGTCGATCCAGAAAGTTCAAAAGATAAACAAAAATCCCAAGCTAAACAAATTTTGCAACAAAAACGTAAAGCATTATCTGAACTATTTAAAGCTTTACAACGTATTGGCTTGTCATATAAAGCTGGTTTAATGGGCTGTGAACAAATGGATTGTTCTATTGAATTTGCTCGTTTGCCCCCTATAGATATAAATGCTGCACTTGAATCTTTAACTCCCAAGTAAGCAAAAAATTTCCCATATACGTTTAAGTATTTTATATTTAGATATAAATATTAAAATATTATAGTTAATCATGTTATATTAAATATATAAATTAGCCAGCACAACAAAAGTTTATATAAATAAATGAGCTTTAAAAATAAATATATGTATAAATACTAATATGTTTCTATTTTATTTTACATGTATTAAGTAAATGTGTTGGCTATTGTTTTCAGTCTAATATCTGTTTCATTTTTAATTATCACACCATAAATTTAATATTATCTAATTATAATTATTTTCTTTTTCAGTCCGGCAGATAATGATTTGCGATGTGCTTGGTCTGATTGTGAATCATATTTCTTAAAATCAGTATCACAAACTACTGCTCTCAAAATTGCTTCTGAAACACCAAAGTTAGGCCAACAAGAAATGGATCGTATCAAAGGGTTTATTAATGATTTAAAGGTAACATATTATCTTTTTTAAACGTCATATCATATATTCATATAATTATAAAAAAAAATACACTATTTTTAGAATATGACATGGAAAACTAGAAAAATCTTAGCTTCGCACATAGAGTGCCTAGTCAACATCCGAAGTATGATATACTTATCTGAAATTATTACGGACTCTAATCGTATTAAATTTGATCCATCCGAAGTTTTTCAGGTAAATTGGTTAAATTCAAATATTTGAAAAAAATTCTGATAAAATTTATGTCGTTTAACTTTAAATTAATACTTACTCAACTTAAAAATGTATTTTATATTTCTATTATGGTAATAATAATATATTATTAAAATATTTGAACTTGTATTAACTACTAAGCACATGTAAAGTTAATTGTAAAATTATTTTTTTTAGCAACCTGTCAATTATATGGTCAACAGCATAAATCTTTTACAGCAATTGAAGATTGCATTACAATGTGGTAGTGAATATATAGATTCTACATCAACTGATTCTATGACATCATTATTAGGTATATCCCCACGTGACTCTGAAAGAGAACAACCTTCAGAGGAGATTTCTGCTAATGTAGATGATATTATTAACTTAACCCATAATTCACTTGATTCTATAATAGATGAAAAAACATACAATGCGATGAAATTGTGTGATATAAATTTTATACTTTATGAAAAGTATGATGCATCAATTCTTATAAGTGAGCAGTTAATGCAATATATTAATAGGTTTTACAAAACTGCATGGATAAATGATAATCATTCAATTAAAGACCACCAAATTGAACGCCAGCCTTTTATATCTGATGATAATGAACCACCATTAGAAGAAATAAATAGTTTAATTAATCAAGTCCTTTTAGCAGTTGAAAAACTTTATAAAAAACATTCAGACATAAAAGAAGATAAAGAAGATGAAAAGTTATTAAAGTCTCTGATTACTCAACCATTGTCTTCTGACTTAGATGATTGTGATATAATCTCAATTAATAAGCAACTTAAAAAGGTCCTTAAATTATCAATTGGTAGTAGAGTATTAAGAGCTTGCCGTCCAATATTTGAACAGTATACGTTACTAGTTCAATATTTTATTACTCAACAAACAACTGTCTATAGAGTTTTATCAAAAATGAACTATTTACTATCTACTTTATTTACGGATCTCGCTTCAAATGTATGTTTATTAAATATAGTTTAAATGTTTTTGATTTATAACTAAAAATTATTTTATTTTAAGGGATTTTGTATACCGGATGAGTTGTTAGAAGGTGAAGATGGCACACAGTCTGATGGGAAAAGTGGTATGGGTTTAACTGATGGCGAAGGTGCTAAGGATGTTTCCGACCAAATCGAAAGCCAAGATCAACTTGAAGATGCCAAAAAAGATTATAACAATGAAGCAGTACAAGATAAAGATCTAAAAGTAATTAATTAATTAATTAATATGTAAAATAGTCTTAATACAATATGTTTATAATTTATTAGGAGGAAGAAAAAGGTGTTGAAATGTCAGATGATTTTGACGGAAAATTACATGATATGGATAAAGATGAAAATGAAGTTTCAGACGATGAAAATAATGAAGAGGACAATGACGAAAAAGAGATGGGAGAAACTGGGGAAGGTGCAGAGACTTTAGATGAAAAATTATGGGGTAGTGATTCTGAAGATGATGATTGTGATGAACAAGAAGATTTAAAAGAAGAGGATGGTAAAGGAGGAGAAACTATGGGAGACAAAGAACTTGGAGCAAAAAATGATAATGACAATGTTGAAGAACAAAATAAAAGTGAAGAAATAGATCAAAAAAATAGTAAAAAAGATATAAATGAAATGGACGAAAATGGAGAAGAAACTGGTGAAGATCATACAGACCCTCACCATGGAGACTTGCAACCCCCACCTGAGCCAGAACCAATGGATCTACCTAATGACCTTCAGTTGGATGAAGGTGAAATGAATGATAACGAAGAAGGAGATGAGAACCCTTTTGATATTGATGCCATGAAAGAAAATATGGAGAATGCTGAAATAGATGAAAAAGAACCTGATGAAAAACTTAAAGACACTAATGATTTGGAAGACACTAGTGATGAAGAAATGGGCGATGAAAACAAAATTGATGACACTAAAGCAACGGAGAGTAATGAAGAATTAGAAGAATCAAACATGGACGATGATACAAATAATGATGGAGGTAAAAAGGACGAAAATAAAACAGGAGAAGAACCTAAAGAAGAAGATAAAAACCAAAATGATGAAAATGCTAAACCTTCAGAAGATGACCCAAGTCACGCAGAAGTTCAACCTTCAAATCTTGATAACGGTGGCTCTAAAGATCAAGTTTGTGAAAATTCTGATGGGCAAGATAAAAATGAAGAAATTGAATTTAATAAAGAAGAAGCGACAGGTCCTGAACAACAAGGTGTAGGCCAATCTCAAAGGGAAAGTAAAGACACCAAAGAAGGTCATAGTGTTAATGAAGATAGAGGTGCTCAAAGTGAAGAACCTGGTTCTAAGGATAAGAAAAGAAGAATGAAACCTGGCGAGAAGGATATGGATAGAACCTTAGGTAAGAAACATATATTATGAACATAGTAGTTTTAAGTATTGTAATTTTGAATGAAATAATTCCCTACCATTTTTTTTAACTCTCAACAATTGTAATCTGCTAAACTTTTTATTCATATTCTCCAAGATATTGTAAATAGTATATTTTTTAATCTTGTAAATAATAATTTTTTTCTTAAGCTGAAAGCAACGGTCCTATGAAAAAAAGGTTAAAAACAACTGACACCCAAGATGAGAATAGTGACAATGAAAATGGTATAAATGATGATAAAGACGCTGAAAACAAAAAAGGAGAACTGTTTAAACATGTTAAAGAGTCTAAAGATGGAGATACTGAAACATTAGATGCCGCAACAACTGTTGGTACTTTTTATTGAAATAAATTATTATGATATTAATTTTTTTTTTTTTTAGGAACAACTTGAAGAACGACCTTTGCCTAACAATGAAAACCAACCAGGGGAAGAATTAAAAGATGATGAAATGGAAATTGAACAAGATGTTAATGAAAATGATACTAAAAATGGTGATGAAATATTACCAGAAAAAGTGAAAACAAAAAATCGAAACAATCAATCTTCTATAAATGATCCAGACAATTCTAAAGACAATGATGAATTTATTGAAGAACATATTGATGTGGATGGCGAGGATATTCCAACTCATTTTGCAGAACGTGGTCAGGAAACAACATTTCATACTGTAGATGTTGAAGAAACCAATGATGTAGTTTCTACCAGTATAGTAAAAGATCTTATAAAACATGATGCATTTATTAGAAGTCAATTTGACAAGTGGCTTGACGTAAGTTTTCAAAGATGGATGTATTTTTAATTTACTGAAAATTATTTATTCCTTTTTAGAGGGACAACAAAGAAATTCAAACTGACGAGGCATGGAATAAATGTATGCATGCAACTTCTAGCTTAGCACAAGAATTAAGCGAACAATTGCGTCTAGTATTGGAACCAAGTAAAGCATCTAGGTTGCAGGGAGATTTTAGAACTGGAAGACGAATAAATATGCGACGTGTTATTCCTTATATTGCTAGTCAATTTAAAAAAGATAAAATATGGCTTCGGAGGACTCGACCATCAAAACGACAGTATCAAATTATTATGGCAGTTGATAATTCGAGTAGCATGATGGATAGCCATGCTAAAGTTGTAAGTCTATAATATAAATAATTGATAAATATAATTAAGGCGTCCGGTGCCAATGCCATTTTGTCCTCATAAATACACTCTGCGGGAATAATGATACCACCTTGTAGAATCCACTAAATTTCATAATTTTTTTTTTTAATTACTAGAGGGAAATATTCTACAGCTCGCATCGAACTCTGTTTTTCAATATTTTATTTTCAAACTTTATAATGTGTCTAAAAAAATACAAGATAAAAAGCATTTTTTTACAAATATTTTATTGCAATTATTTGAAATAAAATACAAAATCAGAGATTAATGCGGGCTGTAGGAAGTCTTCTTCTTTCAGATAAAATATAGTCATCATGGTCCGATAATTCTACAAAACTTGACAGTTAATCCCATAAAGTAATTTTTTTCGATAAAATATACCCTATCAACCCAGGTACTAGTAGCAGGTAGTAGATTAGTGGAAAAGTCTTATAATTGAGGTGGCAACTAAAATATAAAATTATATTTTTAAATTTTATAGAATTGTGGAAAATTTGAAAAATAATTAATTTGAGTGTTGAAACCTTGATTACTACATTCATAATATATCTATGAAAATATAGGTTTAGGATAGTTCATATTCACATTAATATTCCATTAATCTCTTCTACTAAAAATCTTATTATAACCAAATTAAATTAAGTTTATAAAAATTATTTCATTTTGAAAATATATTGAACATTATATATTGTAATGCTCTATGATTGAATTAGAGGAAAAAAAATTATCACTTTTAATTTTTAATAGTTTAAATTCATATTTAACAATGTTGAAATATTTTAAAGTATAAATTAATTACCCTGATGTCGTATTATGTTTATGCATATATCATAATATTAACTGTACTGTTGCTCTCTGTGGCCATAAATTATTTCTATAAATAAAATATTCAGTGGCAAGGCATCTCTAGGCGTCTCTAGGTCGGGAAATATTGAAAAAAAAAATCAATTATAATGACAATATGTGAACAATGAGTTGTGTCTCATAACGCAACTATAACCCTCTACTCACTATTCAATTCCCCCTCCACACTGTGCCTGGAAAAACGAGTCTTCTCATTTATTTTCATACTGTATTTGGATGTTTACTTCCTGATTTTAACAAAAAAATAGTTTTAGACAAAAATATTGAAATATACTATTATATTATTATAACATTTAAAATAATTATGTATTTAAATTATAGCTATGTTTTCTATGTCTGTAGACATAATCTCATTGTCTCCTATGACGCTTATCAACTGATAATATCATCCTTAAAACTAATTTGTTAATTTATATACCTTGTTAATATAATATGTTACAAACAAAACCCAACTTACTGTTGAATATTTACAAAAATAATATGTTAATAATGTTTTAATTTTTTTTACTTTTAGTTAGCCTTTGAATCCCTAGCACTCGTAAGTAAAGCTCTCACATTAGTGGAAGCTGGAGAGTTAGGAGTAATGAGTTTTGGTGAACAAACTAAAATTGTTCATCCATTAGGTGAACCTTTTAGTGATCAAACAGGTTGTAAGCTAATGCAACTTTTTACCTTTGATGAACAAAAGACCAAAGTTGGGGAACTTATAGAATTAGCAACAGCAGTATTTGAAGACAGAGGACAATTAGATACCGGTGATAGACCAGCTCAATTATTGGTTATTATGAGTGACGGTCGTGGTATTAAAAGCGAAGGACCAGATGTTGTAAAAAATGCCATCAGAGCTGCTAAAGTCAATGGAATTTTTATTGTGTTTATTGTTATTGACAATCCTAAATCAAAGGTAAATTTAAAATATTAGACAGTAAAAGACTTTATAAAACAGTTTCAAAAATTGAATATAAAGTGAATATTTAAAATATTAATTTTTGTTAATAATACACATTATTATCTTAAACAATTTTTAATGATGTTTATTTATATATTAATATTTTTCTTTTTAGGAATCTATCCTGGACATCAAAATGCCCATATTTGAAAATAATTCAGTTCGTATTGAATCATACATGGATAATTTTCCATTTCCATTTTATGTTATTTTAAGGGATGTAGATAAATTGCCTGGTGTATTAAGTGATGCACTTAGAGAATGGTTTGAACTTATTACAACCTAATAATTTTCGTTAAATTTAAGTTAGTATAAAAAAAAAATAAGAAAAAAGTTTTTAATTATACCTTTTTTTTAAATGAAATATTTTTTAATAATTTTTTTTTGTTTACTTTATTCATCATTTTTGTAAACATTTTTTTTTTTTTTACAATTTGGCTGATTGTATTAATCATTTAATTTTTCCAGTTTTTATTTTAAAGGTTCAAAATAAATATATTGCCTTATACCTAAACTTTGTGTTAATATTTTTTTTTTTAAAACAGAGTTTTTGTGTTATTGGAATCAATTTTGTTAGTAAGACAGAAATAGTTCTATTAAGTACAGACAAAGGTAATTTTAACATATTATATTCTAAGTTAGATGGAAAAATAATTTGAAATTACAGATTTTTAAACAAATCAATCCATCAATCGAAAATTATATGATTGTATATTTGTATGATTGTAGTTTTTAAAAATAAATATTAGAAATAGGAATTTTGTGAATACAGTTACATACAATTACAGTTGATTAGGGTTTACCAAAATTGTATGATTAAGCACCTACCTAGTGTTCATAAATATAATTAATGATTATGTTTGTCCATTGAGTATTGAGTATTTGTTCTGAACATTTGACTAAGGTTATATTCAATTGTAGAGTATTTCTAAATGGATTTAAATTGCCTGATCAAATATTTCACTTCACTAAGTTACTGGCTGAGTACTTCTAGAAGGTACTTACTAAAAAAACTCAAAATATGTATGCACTATGCACATGTGACATATGCATTTAAAAACAAATAATATGCACTTAAAATTTGATCTAAAAAAAGGTGGGTAAGTGGATGTCGCTCTGCTGTACAGTAGTTTACAAGTGGGTCACTGTATAATGGATGCTATTAAATTTTAATTCAATGATACAATATCATTGTATAAGAAAAACAATTCTGAGCGAAGACGGTATGACAGTCTAGGTTTAAGACAAATTATATACCTACATATCTATGGTATTAAAAAAAAAAATTGACCTATAATAAATTCCAAATAAATCATATCACAATATCCATTAGGTACTTATAACACGTTATACATCAACATCAATAACAAACCCTGATACTATCATAGATATATAATAGTAGGTACACTTTAGAAGTTTCAAGTAGGTACCCACAAATAATATTATATAATCACAACAAAATAACTAGGTTTTTTAATATGTAATTTCGTCCAAATTTGAACATAAAATGACTATAAAAATAAACTGTAATTGTATATGTTTTATATTTTTCGGTAAGAGAATTAACTACTTACGTGGAATCTTGTTTTAAATTTTCAATCCTTAGCTATAAAAACTGAACATTTTATAATTTATTAATTACGATGATTAATAATTTTAGAGATTTTGAAAAATTCGATGTTTAAATGCTTATAAAAAAAAATTGTGTCTATGTATTTTTAATATTTTTCAACTGATATTATAACAATATATCAGGAGCCTGGTATTAAATTTTTACACTTTTTGGCCCAACAGATAAAACTTTATTGATATTCATAGAAAAAAAAACTAAAAAAATTTAAAAATGAAAATATCCGTAAACAGCTCAAAAAGAGTCAAAATATTTTCAAAATTGTATGGTGTATAGGAAAAGCTAATATAAACATTCAGTGAAATTTTCATGTATCTATAGTTATTCGTTTATGAATAACAACAAAACAAGGAAATCGCTACATGTGAAATCGAGTGAACATCCAATGTTGTAAAAATTTCAATTTCAAACGCTCATAAAAATTTAATTTGACTGTCCGGTAGAGATTTTTTTATTGATAAAGGTAGACAAACTTATGAGTAATCTTATATTACATTTTCAAATCTTAGATTTAAAAAGAAAATTTTTACGAATTCTTAACTCAAAATAATTTGCTAATTTTCGTGATTTTTCCATATTTTGTCAATTTTTGAACTTTAAATGCTTATAAAAAAAAACTGTGACTAACGATTTTTAATATTTTTCATCTGCCTTTGAAACAATATACTAGGAGCCTTCTATTAAATTTTCAAGTTTTTTTAACCAACAAATAAAATTTAATTGATATTTCTAGCAAAAAAACTAAAAAAAAAATGAAAAATGAAAATGTCCCTAAACAGTTCAAAATAAATCAAAATATTTTGAAAATGTTATCGTGTATAGAAAATGCAAATATAAACAACCAGTGAAAATTTCATGTATCTACGGTCATTTGTTTTAAAGTTACACCAAAGACCAAATTCAATTTTCTGAAAAATCGATTTAGCGTACAAATCCCGGTTTTTCCTTAATTTTTCTTTTGTTTTTCTTGGCGCTTTTGAAAAGTACTGGGAATTTTAAATTTTGACCTCCCCAATGCACCAACGACATTCACTTTCCAATCGAACAAGATACTGAAGTCGAAAATCGAAGCATTATTTCGACTACTTATCGTGTACACAGACACAAAAAAAAAAAATAAAAAAAAACACACATTATTGTAAAATTAAATCAATACATTCATCGTTTCACTCAGAATCTAAAATGTAATATTATATAAAATAATAGGGAACCTAAATTATAATATTTATGTAAAAAATATATTAAAAATATAACTTAAATTAATTGATAAAAACTTGAAAAATTAATTGCACTTTAATCAACCAACGTCCATAAGTGCCATAAATTATGACGGACCACTGAATCCTACAATCGTATATGCTACACGATGTTATCAGTCAGGTAGTGAATTACATATCCAATTATTTTAAAATAACATATAGATTTTGTTGACTGTAGACATTCAGAAAATAATGTTTTATACAGATTTCTATGTTTTATTAAATTTTCCAAATTTGTACCTATACAATATGCTCTTAACTATTATACACAAATTTGTATTTATATGCAATAACGACAAAATATGCAAAATATTATGGTAAATATGTTTATACATCACTCGCATTTCTCTGTGACGTTTCTAGACAAATATGAAAAAAAAACTATTATTTTTACATAGATACTACATTTATATATTTACTTAGATTTTAATTAAAAACAAAAACATGTGGTAGACCGAGGAATATACGTAATGACTACCAAAAAAATTGAATTCATTATCCATACAAACAAATAATAGAGTATACTTAATAAAGTTGTATCTGTTGGGCCAAAATGTTAACAAATTTAATACAAGGTTCCTGATATATTGTTACAATAGTAGTTGAAAAATATTAGGCTGCACCTGACCGAACAGTGGTGGAAGTATTTTAGCGGAAATACGGAATAGTCAGCACACAGCGGCTCGTCACACGGCCGCCGTGTTCGAGTTATGTTTTCGTTCATAAAATATTATCTTACTTACCACATTTTGAGTCATAACTCACAGCACAGAATCGTTTTTCTTATACAATGATATTATATCATTGAATTCAAAATTAATTCCATCCATTATACATAGTGACCCACTTGTAACCTACTGTACAGCAGAGCGACATCCACTTTACCAATTTTTCATGGTGACTTTAAGTTAAAATTTGGTCGAAATTAGATATTTAAACGAAAAAAATGATTTTAGTAAATGGTTCAATACCCCCCCCCCACAATCATGACCAAATTACGCCACTGAACAAGTGTCCGTCATTATCGTTTGGGGCAGTAACACTGCTTCGATTTTCTTCAAGTGTCTCAAGCACAGGGAAAACCAAAACAAAAATTAAGAAAAACGATAATTTTTATGCAAAATCGGTTTTCGATAAAATCGATTTTGGTTTTTGGTGTAACTCTAAAATAAATTACCGTACCTATACACTATAACATTTTCAAAATATTTTGACTAGTTTTGAGCTATTTAAGGACATATTTAGTTTCCAATATTTTAAGTTTTTTTACTATAATAAATTACTATCGATTCAATTTTATTCGTTTGGTCAAAAAGCTTTGAAATGTATTACAAGGCCCCTCCTAATTATTGTTCCAATGACAGTTAAAAAATATAAAAATACTCAATCACTAATTTTTTTTTTTTTAAGCATTTAAAGTTTTATTTTTTACAAAATGCTTAATAATCACGAAAACGTGCAAATTATTTGAAGTTAGAAATTGCTCAAAACATTTTTTTTTAAATCTGAGATTTTAAAATGTAATACAAAATTCTTTATAAGTTTGTCTACCTTTGTTGGGTCAAAAAGATTGAAAAATTAAAACGAGGCTCCAGATATATTATTACAATAGGAGATTAAAAATATTAAAAATACATGGTCATTCTTTTTTTATTATCATTTAAAGTTCAAATTTTGACGACATTTATCAAATTGAAAATTTACAAATTATTTAGGTAGTTAAAAATGTATAAAATGTTCAACTTTTATAGCTAAGGATTAAAAAATTAAAACAAAGTTCGATGTAAATAAATTGAATGTAAATTACTTTATTTATAATAATATCTTCAAATATACCTACTTAGTAATATAATGGGCTGACTGTCGACTGACCGTCTTCGCTCAAAATCGTTTTTCTTAAACAATGATATTATTTCATTGAATTAAAATTGAACACAATCCATTGTAGTGAACCACTTATAACCTACTGTACATAAGCTGAGTGACACCCTCTTGCCAACCTTTTTTTAGTTCAAAATTATATCTGTTATACTTTATACAATTGTCTTCTCTTTAATTGTGGCTAATGTTAAACTTAATTATCAATGTACTTAATTTTACTTTTATAATATTTACTATCAATAGGTACACATTATGTAAAAAAAGGGTTCGCCTGCCTCGCCGGTAAAACTGCTCCACTGTTACCATGAATACATCCTAATTTTCAATAATCAAAGGAAATAATTATTTACAGAATATGGACGATCATAGTTTAGCTACGAATGCATTTTCGTAAGATAATTATTAATTATTGCAATTGTTTTAAGTGAATTCGTCTGACAAATGACAATATTTTAACAAACCATCTTTTGAAGAGTGAAACTCATTATAATATTAATAACTAAAGTAGTACCACCT